ACAAAAGAGAAAAATAAAAAGAGTCATGATTGTTTAAGTGCTGATAAGACATGTCAAATAAAAGATGTAACGAGAATTTCAGATATAAAAAGTTCAATTAAAGGAGAAATTGTCAGTTTATTCTGCAAAAAGATGCTTGCCATATAGAAACTTGCCATATAGATACTTCAAATATGATGTGCCTTTTTCAGCCCCGGTGAAGCAAGATACGCTAACAAAATCTGTGGCATTTAAAAAATATATTCACTTAAAGGAACAGATTTTTCTCTGATCCAAACTGAAATATAAAAGAAGAATGAAAGAAGCAGTACGTGAATAATGCAGACAAAAAATGTAATCTTGATTATAAATAAACACCCACGCAAACACACTCTCTAACACCTAGAGACATACACAAATATATACATATGTACAGCTATGTAAATTTGAGAGAATGACTGCTTCATCAAAATGAGATATTTTACACCCTCAGTATGATTCAGTAATATCGATATCATTATCTATCTATACCAGTCTGTTCATATCTATCTATCTATCTATCTATCTATCTATCTATCTATCTCTCTCTCTCTCTCTCTCTATATATATATATATATATATATATATATATATATATATATATATATATATATATATATATATATCTTATTTCACTCTTCATTGTCTATCTAACTATGCATCTCAGTCTGTTCGCTGTCTATCTATCTATCTATCCATCCCAGTCTGTTCATTATCTATCTATCTATCTATCTATAAAATATAATATCGTAAAAACATAAAATGAAAGAATAATTTTTTATCATGGTAGTAGAAATGTAGAAAATTAGAGAAGTAAAAATAAAGATTTGAAGAAAAAAATCAGATTTATAAAAAGTATCACAAAAGGTCAATATAATTATAATTGTTTGCCGAATCAATGTTATTAATAATCTATTAAATTATATATATATATATATATATATATATATATATATATATGTATGTGTGTGCGTGTATGTCTGTTTGTGTGTTTGTGCCTCTGTGTGTGCGCGCGTCTATAGGATACAAAACACAATGAGGTTTGAAAATTTATTAGCAACAAGAAATAACTCTCTGGTTTGGACTGATTTAACATCCTACAACTCCCTCCCCCACCCCGATATAGATAAAACAAATAAACAAACAAACAAAAGATCAGGCATGGTCAGACTCTATTGCGTCTGGACATTGGAAGTGATAAGGTAATCCAATTTAATTGGATTTATAGTTATTACTCATCCGCTGAGATCTGAAGGCATTTTTCATCGCATACAGTTTTGTATTTCTTTCAATTTAACCAGAGAAAGCCAAAGAGATTAGACCTTCTCAGTGAAACGTGTTGTTAATATATCTTCCACGTTGTCTCATCATCATCATCATCATATATATATATATATATATATATATATATATATATATATATATATATATATATATATATATATATATATCAAGAACAGTACTGGGGAAATTGTAAAAAAAAAAGGAAAATGTTTACTAATGACGCGTTTCGTCCGTCTGAACTAAATTTGTTATGTCCGTACGACTACATACGCACGAACAAGGGGTGCTGGGAATGTTAGTATTTTCCATTTTTTTTTTTTTTGTTGTTGTTGTTGCTTTTTTATCATCCGAATTCATTAGGTACTTTTTGTTTCATTTTTTCCTCCACTTTTGTAAGTAGATATCCCACAATGTGATATTAGATGTTCTGCCAGGAATTATGAAATGTCTTACATTGTTTACTAGCTTCCAACATATACAAGACCCAAGAGCCACTCAAGTGAAAGTTTTACTGAATGGCGCTGTTTTATGAACGTACAAATTTGTAGATTATTATGATATATTAGATAGATATCTGTTAACTCGAGATTTGATGAGGTTAAGATTGCATTCCCTGGCAGAACATCTTCTCGGGCGTTTGTTTCCCAAAACAGAAGCCCTTTTGCAAGTATCTGTCAGAATGAGACTCCCTTCTGAACAATGAAGAACAATGAAGAAAATGAAGATGGTTCGCCCCTGTGCACATGATATGGCGGCTCTTAGCTTTAACGGTCTGAAGTGATAGAAATTAGGAATGTTGATCGTAGGAACATGTTCTATGGAAAATCGCTATAGAACAGCGATAGTCTTGCGACGTTGCGTCTCTAGGAAAAATGTTGCAAGCGTTTTTGAAATTTTTCACGGATGAAAAGTGAGGATCGTGCAGCTCCCATCTCAGATATTTGTGATCTAATCTGACTCTTGCAAAGAGAGCTCATGTCACGTGATATCAGGTACTTCCTGAACTCGTATAAGGAACCTAGTATCTTTTCAGCGGCGTCTTTAATGATGAGTCATATACGAGTTCCACTTGAGGCCTCGGATGAATCTGTGTCTCAGTAGACGTTAAAAAATGTGACTCTTTGAGATATCATTCATTCATCGTGGATAGTGATAATTCAGGATCAGTAATTACCGATAATGAAAAGTTACGTGCTAAGTTTTTGTTACATTGAATGTTACAAGCCAGTTTTTTCTCCATTGTCTTGTTAGTGCTAGCTCAGATAAGAGACAAGCTGTCAGGCTCTGGTTTCCTACATTTTTGTAGGCTCGCTCATATACTGTGGTGTCATCTACAAATATATTTAGTAACGATCTGACAATGTTCTTAGGCATATCGTTAATATAAACCAGAAAGAGAGTAGGGCAATGCAGTGAGACTCGTGGAAGGCTAGCATTGATTTCTGTTGTGGAGATGAATACACCTCTCTAGAATTTGACTTGGACTCGTTCAAATAGCATATCTATTGACGTCAACAGTGAGCTAGCCTGGAGCGAGCATTATATCCTTACTACAGAATTCAATAACCCCAAGACACATTATATTTCATGATTGTGTTATCTTCATTCACTGCATTGAAGTCATAACAAATTCAAAGACTGCATATGCTTGATCAATGACAACGACTTTCAAGAACATACCTGATAGGAATGAGATGATAATTACACGGACTAACCCAAGAGTTTGTGAAGCGAACAACTTACACAGTATAAAAGGCCCAAATGATATTTTAGGATGAGTTTAGAATCAAATATCTTAGGGATTATGTATATTATGACACCTAGAACATCAGCAGTAGACCTAGAAGAGTGGAATTTATACTGCTTGTCGATCAGATGTTTCCTCCTATTGAGGTGATCAAAACAAGCTTTTTCATTCGACATGAAAGTTTGCTGATGCAACTATAAGGCTGATGAATCGATATTAAAACGGGAATAAGTGCTTCCCTGTATTCCAGAGGACAGACACATAGCTGACACCTTCGATATATTTGCGAAACATTTCTCCATGGGATAGCGGCTAACAACTTCGTCAATATTAGAACAACTGTGGGTTACGATTCTTAAGAACAACCAACGGGATTTTTACCGGACCAGTAACTTTCGTAGAGTTTTGATATGTCTGAAAACTTCACATGTAGTGGCACAGATAGCTTAATTCTTGTACTCAATGAGAGTGGGAAAATGAGGTAAAAGAAGGTCCTTGTCGTCTGAGGGGAAGTTAGAGGAAAAGTTCATTGTTAAGAACTTATGCTATCCGACAAATATGAGAGTGACTCAGGTGCATTTATAATAGTAAGCATTGACTGCTTGCTTCTACTGGGATTTTTTTTGTCTGAGATTTTCCAGACCTCGTAGGAACCAGAATTTTTTTTAACTTTAGCTTTGAATGTTGACGTATAACAGTTTTTGCCTTTTATCTAGGGCTCTCTTGCACTGATGGCAGCAAAGATTTTGTTACACCATTGCCTGTAAAAGAGATGGTAGTAGTGGTCACGATGAGCTATTGCTGTAGCATATTCTGGGGTGAACCAAAGGGGGCTGTTCAACTTCTGCTGATTTTTTTTTTTTTTTTTTTTTTTTTGTGCGGGACAAACTTTTCCATGGCGGAAAGTAACCATTCAAAGATTATGGAGGCAGTTCTGGAGCTTCTCCAATGTAACAAATTTCATTTTCTTACGTATTCCAAGTATAATTACGAAATTCCACTCAGACAGCCTCTAATCAGAAGCTTCTAATTTGTGGAACACACCTTAAGTAAACGGCCAATCTTCTTTATCTACATAATCTCCGTTATTTAATGCGAAATCTAGATATTTTGGACATAATTTTAAATATATATTTGAACGCAATTGTATGACTTCAACTATAGATAAAATGTATTGGTGATCATTTTATGTAAATATGTATTTTTAGTAATTATATTTTATATATAAATTCATTGCTGGTATTTTTACTATAAAACTGTATTTCTTTACTTTCATAATGTTTTGTTTTTGTTTGGAGGATTCAATATAGATGGGACCCTAACAGGTGATGCCAACTCGAGTAAGAGTGAGCCTCGGATCAACAGCATTTAAGAAGTGGTTTCCCGTTCCTCTAAAACTGCAATCTCCCTGTCAGAGTCAATGCTGCTGGATGTAGCTTAGCCTCCTACATAGGACTTCATTCATATCTTCTAATGAATTCATCATAACCATTTTAGCAGTAACCTTCTGCTATGAGTAGCTTTCCAACTCTAAATTAGGCTAACTTTAGTATAAAAAGAAATCTCTTTCTTCAGCATCCAGTAAAACTAACCAGTAGTCTATATTGCATTTATACAGGGAAAACCTCAGTTGCAATTTCTGGAAAATTTGCCATGATCAGTAGTTGAACAAGACCAGTACAATCAAACCTTCGATCATAATGACTCGTGAGTACGTGTTAAGACAACCGTCAACGGCTTCCGAAGAATTTTGTCTACCACTTCCACTCACCACTCTTTGGTCAACTAATATGATTTTCAGTTACTTCCCAACAAAGCCACACGGTGGGATAGTTATTATCAAGAAAAAACCTCCTTAGGAAAAGAATCATGATGAGATTCGAACGCGGCTCTTATGGTCGTAAATATATATACACATAGACATACATATATAAAAGACATATATGAATACGTATTGATAGATATATTAGTCTGTAGACTGTCAGATAGATAGATAGATAGATAGATAGATAGATAGATAGATAGATTATTCATATGACCATTTTTACATAAAACCGATGTATTTCTTATGGTTATTTATTCCATATAGCTTACTCGTGCAAGGTTTAATGAAACAAAGTTGAAAAAGAACCCGAAGTATCTTCGAAACGAAGCAAGTTTTACTTCGATAATCAGCATTCGAAAACTGAACTCTTCGCAGTGGAAAATACATACATATTGTGTGCTCAAAAATTTAATTCGGTTATTAATTAGAAGATTTACGAACATTCTGGCTAAACCAATATTTTACTATCATCAAGTTGATTACAAGATAAGTCACTCTCGGATTTCAAGGTAAGTCACATTGCAGCAAACACATAAACAGTGTTGTGGCAATCTTTCATGTGAGGTGGGACACACTGCTGGCTTTGAGAGTCAGCCAAGGAAATTTTGGCGTGGATCCAAGTTGGAAAACCAAATTCTGGTGTCTGTGGGAAATTTTCAACTCCACCCACCGTCTTATATCCTAAAATAGAATGCATAAATATCATTCTTTTTCCAGAATATGCCTTTCCGAAACTAACGTGCAACTCATAGGACGTAAAAAGATAAACATTTATCTACAAAGAGACGCATATAAAATGAACCATTTCCTATGTTAAAAAAATGCTATTCTGCTTTTTTTTATGACCGTGTCATTTAAAGAGGTGGGCGATTATGGACCTCCACAACTTCTTGTGTAGCTATAAGCAACCTTTTATTATTTAACGTCTGTCGCTGTGTCCGCGCTATTATCTATTTGTAGTTTAATCACTGTTTCTCTATGACGGTTCTCTTTTCAGTATATCCCGTCAGTGGTAAATTCTTAGTGAATTCGAGATGAAAATTATGTTGAAACATACATGCTTCTTTTCTTTGCCGTGTCCGTTCAGGCCGTGGGTGATGATTCCTATACTTTGCTGGGGTTGCCAAATCCTAGCCCTTCCAACATTGATAGCATATAAAAACGTTGGTTTCGAAGGTGATTAATTATTGCCGATTATACAAATCCCTTTTCAAGACTAAACGTTATTAACTTTTCTGTAAACTATCAATATTTTCATGACAAAAAAATAGCTACAGTCCCTAGTTGCATCCCTTGATCCATCCAGTTCAGGCCTTCATATCTAGGACCGTCATGTCACGTACCCATCGTAATTACCTTCGTATTCTTCTTGTAAAGAGGAAGTTCCACTCTGACAGTTTTTCCCCAGAACTGGCGCATCGTTGAACAGACTTCTGAGAGGATGTTTCCCTGATAATTACATTCTTACGTTTCGGGTCAACAGTTATCTATCTTACATATCCTCTTGTTTTTTTAAGCATTTCATTCCAAGCAAGGCAATAATGGCACTAAGATGCAAGAGGACTACTGAGTGTAAGTGAATAGGAGAAAGAAATCATTAGTAAGGAGAGATAACAATAAAAGAAAAGGAATTAAGACGATAACAATTGATATTGCATTTAAATTTTTGATGAATGAAGTCGACTAGAAAGCAATAAATTGGACGAGAGAGTTGAACAAGCGAAAAGTACAAAAGTGGAAATTGTGAACGTAAAACTTACAGTTACATGTAATCATTTCAACTGTAAAATAATTAGATCTTGCCACCAGTCTAGTAGTTTGCTTAGATTGATGGAGTGTAGGTACCAAATAGGAAACTTCACCAGAACAATTACCATTTAAACAATTGCCTTTCTACAAGTAACGCGCTACCTTGAGTGGCACTTAGGGTTTGTATTGGGTGACCAATTGTATAAGTTCCCCCAAAATGTGTCTCTTTACAAACCCTTCGTGGTGCATCTTCTGACACCCATTTAACACTTTAGGCATGATACTCGCTATATAAAATATAAAATACAAGCACCCCCATATATATATATATATATATATATATATATATTATTCTAAGAAATTATAATAAAAACATCTTAAAATCGCTACACAAAAGCTTTCATGTTTCAATACTGTGCTTGTACTTCTTCAGGCGATGGTAAGTAACTGGTGATTAAATGATTTTAAGGAAATTTAAAAACAAAGTGTTACCTCTCCTCCAATAGTTAAAGGGGTATGATAATGTCAGAATTAAAAGTAGACCAATTAATTGTCAGATCTACGCTAAATAGAAAAGTAAACTCAGAGGGCAGAGGAGGGTTATTTATTTTTTATGACATGATAAACAGGAACATAGACATAACATCATTGACGATTGCGGAAAATATGTCAGCGATAAATGTATTGTGATTGTAGACAAATATGACATGTTCAATTTGTCTACAATCATAATACATTTGTCGCTGGCATATTTTCAGCAATCGTCAATGATGCCCTGTCTATGTTCCAGTTTATCATGGCATAAAAAATAACTGGCCTCCTCGGCCCTCTTAGCTTTTTTATTTAGCGTAGATATGATATTTAATTGTTTAATCAAGACAAACTCACATTATGTCCCGGCCTCTTTAACTTTCAGAAAAGATGTAACACTTTGTTTTTAAATTTCCTTAAAAATCATTTAATCACCAGGTACTCACCCTCGACTGCAGAAGTACAATCATTGAAATATGAAAGTTTTTGGGTAGTGATTTCAATGTTTTATTATAATATCATAAAAATAATAATAATATATTGATCTACTTTGTTTTGAACACTTTTTAAAAGTAAATGCTACAAACAGTTGAATTTTACTTCATCTGTTCTTTCTCTCATTTGTATATATATATATATATATATATATATATATATATATATATATAGAGAGAAAGAGAGAAAGAGAGAGAGAGAGAGACAGACAGACAGACAAGCACTCTGTCAGACAGGCAGGCAGGCATACTGACAGACAGAGAATGAAAAAAGAGAAATATTACCTATTAAAATAAAATACATCTTTACTTTTAGTTTTTTGTTTACTATTAATTTTTTTTATCTCCAACTAGGCTAACCGCCTGTAAATGTAATCCATTAACTTTCTCCGCAAATTCCTATTCCACAGACAGCTTGTTATCACATAAAAACGTCGAGCAGAGTCACACGAAAGCAAAGTGCTGACATATATATATATATATATATATATATATATATATATATATATATATTTTTTTTTTTTTTTTTTTCATTTCTCGTGTTCTTCTCTTCTTTCAGGAATCCCGGGCCATATTCACTGACCTTCTACAACTAATCATATTTTTTCGGTTTTTAGTTTTGCTGAAAATGAAATAGAAAAAGAAAATGAGCAGGTGTGACATTCTGACCCGTTCAGAATGGGAAATGGACTAATTGAGAGCTTCGCATGGTTCCCAGGTCGTATTGTCTGGCTCTGGTGTTGCTAGTTTTTGTAATGATTGATACTTGTACAATTCTGGGAAAGTGCCGCACAGAACTGCAAGGCATAGGTTGCAAACAATCGCGAAGTGTAATACTTAACCAATTTGTGTGGGGTGGAAATTCAGCACTTATTGGATGCTCAACAAACTTGATTTTGTGTTCCAAAACAAACAACATGTACCTTGGTATATATATATATATATATATGTGTGTGTGTGTGTGTGTGTGTGAAAGAGAGAGAGAGGATGTAATCGGCGTCGTTTTCATTATTAAAGAAGAGCAATTTTAGATATATCAACTATCATTCCCTGTCCACTTTGCAATATTTGAAAGGCGCATCCAAAAGTAAACAAATGACGTCACACATTATAAAATGAATAAAGTCCGACAATTATTTTAAGTCATTTTTATGTTTATACAGTCTTTTTTATAGATAAAAAATATTGAAGTTCCATATAGGATACAGGTTCGAATCCTGTCGGAGGACGAATATTTTCTGTGAAAATTTCTCGGACATTCAGGCTGGTAAATGTTGTAAAGCATTTAAATATTTGTATCTATAAAAAGAATACATAAACATAAATATGTCTTAAAATAATTGTTAAACTTTTTCCATTTCATAATGTGTGACGTCTTTGTTTACATTTGGATACGCTTTGAGCAGATATGAATGTACGTGAGAGATTCATGGAAGATTGAAGTTTAAAGACAGTAAATTCGACCTTGCTAACCGAACGCTCCTCCTCTCAAATTGGTTAAAGGCACGTCAAACCAAATGACGGTTCTGTATAGGATACAGGTTCGAATCCTGTCGGAAGACGAATATTTTCTGTGAAAATTTCTTGGACATTCAGACCGGTAAATGTTGTTTAATACTGTTTATTATAAACAGAGCATTTACTTAAATATTTCTATCGTTAAAAAGAATGTATAAACATAAAAATGTCTTTTTATATATATATATATATATATATATATATATATATATATATATATATATATATATATATATATATAAATATAAGTGCGCAGGTATGCAGAAAATAAAAAAAACACGTTGGGTGCATAATCCGGTGTTCCTTAGTATTTTTTTTTTTATTTTTAAGAAGACATACAGAAGTAGAGCTTTATTATAATAATATTTTTTGATACCCTACCCAACCTTAGCAAAACCTCTCAGAAGATGATGAATCTATTGATAAGAATTAACTCTCTGACCACTTAACGAAGAAAAATAGTCTAGCCACTCCCACAATAACGAATTCTGTAAAAGACCATGCCTAAAAACACACGTAAACCGAGAGATAGCTTGTTCCTAAAATTCCGCTTGAAGATGAAACGGGACTAAACACCTCAATTCAACTTAATTTTAATAATTATTTGGATGGTTTCGGCTCTCGTTTTTTTGAAACATGAGAACTCTTATGTATCGAAGGAATCATATTTTTAAACAAAAATATTACATATATATATATATATATATATATATATATATATATATATATATATATATATATATATATCCACCATTTACCCAAATGGTTAGTAGTAAGTTAGGGTAAAAGTTTCTTGGTTTGATTGAAAAACATTTTCCAATTTAGCAAGATTTTCAATAAAAACACGCTAAAATTAACTATAGTTGTACTGAAAATTAAGATAAACTTATAAAAAAAATACAATATTAACATTTTAA